CACAATTTTGTAGAATTAGTACCACATGTTAAATAGTTATTAATCAAATATTTACTATGATCTATACATAAATAATATTTGAAAAAAAATTCTTCATCCATATGTACAATATTTGTACGCTTGTTTAAATGTCTGTACACTTAATATTCATCATAAAAAGTGAACATTATTATAGTAAACAGTAATAACTATAAAAATGTACACATATGTTACAATAGGATAAGATAACGCTAAAAATAAGTAATCTTTATATAAGAAAATCAAGTTAAAAGATAAAGATAGACTAATGCCTTTTTAAATATTCTAACTAATCTATCTCTGAACTTTATTTTTTCTTCAACGAGGTAAGATGAACACAAATTTAGCAAATAATAATACTACTAATTCAGAAGAAATTAGATATATGAAAGTAATTAAGATTTATCAAATATTTTATAATGAATACAACCTCCGATAGTGGTAATGAATGTGGCGTACTAACTAGTGAATGAATTCATCTTGTAATCTTAGGAGTTCCGATGGGAAACTGTCACCACTGATGTCGGGTTTCAGATACCGTAGGCAGGGGAACATGGGAACACAACATCGCTGACTGATTGAAGTTAGACAATGCAGACAATTGAGTGCTGGTTCGCTAATTTAGGGGTTAAGTACTCGTCATGTAACTGAAAGTATTCATTTCGATCTGTGGTGTGGTAGCTGATGTGTACTTTTGAAGTCGCTTATTCTATGACTAGTCAGCTTTCAAGAGCCTAGGACTGTCCATCTATGAAAATAGTAATTAAATTTATTTTTATATCATATTTTTAAGAAAAACGTGAGTCAGTAAACTTTAAAAAAGTTTGAAATGAAACTATGAACGTCTTACTCATTTGTGAAGTTGAACTGAGATCATATAACTATACTTTACCAAATGATAACAAATGACTTTCGATTAAGTTGTACAAGAATGTATCTAGATATGATAAAATCGAGATAACTATTTTGTTTCACAATATGGATTTACATATGTGGAGTATTTTGCTGTGTTTATCTCATGTATGCAATTCATGTTCATTTTAGATATATATTTTAGAAAAATACTCAAAAAAGTTATTTTTTTATTCTTCAAAAACAAGGATGAATAGGATGTAAATGACAAAATAAAAATATCTATGATTATTGATAGGAAATCTTAATCTTAACATTAGTTCCAAGAATAGACCTGTTTACCATTGTTTTGTTGACAAATCAAAAACAACATGGTTTTAGCGTAATAATTTGGTTTTAAACCCTACAAAGTTTATCACTCATCCGCATTGAATGAACTGTGATCATGCGTGTTAAACTTTTCTAACATGATATTGTATAACTAGGGTGCGAGCTACTTATAAGCAGTATATGACAGCAGCAGAAGATGGTGGGAGATCAAGAAAGGAAGAGTGGGAACACAGTGGAATTTGTATGAAATGCATGAATAAGTGAAATGTCAGACAATGGATTGATGATTGACTGAAGATTTGCAAATTAACCGTTTACGATATGGTTTTCCTATTTTACTGAGTAACTATGTAATTTTCGTTAAATACAATTCGGCTGCCCCACCTGTATTCTCCTTCACTACATAACTACTGAAATAAATGATCTACCCATAGTGGTCGATTTATTACTAATTAAGTTTGATTGTCTGTTATCTTTCGAAAACGAACAGTTTCACACAATTTTTTCCTACTATTTAAAATGATCTATTTAGACGGTTTCTCTGCGCGTATAATACGACTAGACTAACATGTAGGTTCTAGTAATCCGTTCATTATAACATAGCTCTCCGTTTTTCTTCTGAAATTTAATGCACACGGCAGAACATCACTCACATTTTTATCAGTAAATCTATAAATTTTTGTGACTAAATTACAAATCATAGTTGGATTTAATGAGGCACCTAATGAAAATTCTATTTTATTAACAGTTTGATTTGACTATTCAATAACTTCATTAATAAAATTAAATCAACAAAACTGTATATTTGACGAAAATTAATATTTCATGAACATAATGTATATAATTATTCGATGTAATGCAATCTATCTTAATCCAAGTTAGTCACCTGTTTGTTAATAGAGGATAATTGATTAGTTCTTTATGATTAGCATGTAAGTTTCATCATAGTTTCATGATAATGAATTGTTGAAAACAAAAACTGTTCATTTATTAGATCCATAATTTTGTTTTAAGATAGTTTCATTTTATCCTGATCAATTCAGCGGTAAATAAATAAAATACACAATCTTATGCTTACACGTGATTGTGAAACGCTAGTCAAACATATTAATTTGTCGCAGTTATTAATCTCAACTTTATTGTAGGCATACGAGAATGGTTTGCTGGATTTTTTCTACAATTGCTCTGCTGTGAATAGAATTTACCTATATCTATCTTCTGTTAAAGTTTGTATGAATAAGTGTAGTTGGCAAGTAACACTGTACAGAAATAGTATTTCTGTGATTCCGTAAATAAACAAATCAAAAAACATCTATGTCGTTAATTCATCTCATATACATAGTTCATCATAAACATCAACATCCTTTTAAAACACTGATAATAACAAAATTCTGAAGGGCTAGAAGCAATTGAGAATAACATGAGTAAAGCTCAGTTAGTTAAAATAAGACTACAAATTTAAATGACATTTGAAATAAAAGCATAATGATGTAATTAGTTGGAAAAAAGACTTCAACAAAATCTTATAATGTATAGAAGGAATAATAATAATATTAATACGCTTTATATCAACAATCAGATCGTTTGTAATCAAACAATACAGTCTTCAATAAACAACTGATTTATTAAAAGCTTAAATTTTCACAGAACATCACTTTGTCTATTATGTATAATGAACTCGTCAGATTACTTTGAAGCAAAGATTATGTTCTCACGTGAATTTTCCGAATTCTTCATTATTGTTGATTTTCACAATAAATTTCATTATAAACTGATAATACTTGAACTGTCATAGAACCGTTGGATCCCAGTTTGGCAATTCAGGGCTTGTTATAAAAACCTTAAATTACTAATTTTACCTTCCTATAAAATTGTTTGTATCCGCTTCCGCAGAGTCTCGAAGTGGCAAGGAACAACTATCCAGCACCATATGATTTTCACTTTTCCACGCGATGTCAGTTCGTAATGATTGTTTGCATTATTCATGACTTTTTGAATAAAAACCTTTAGTGAGTATTATGAATAGTGAAAGCTTCATTCCGATTGCGTCCTAAATACGATGTAAAAATGAAAAATGACAGTGTAGTGTATCCCCAGCCATGATTGATGAATTATTAAATAACTTCTGAAAAAACGATTAATGATCGCGAATGCATACAGGCTTAAAAAACATCCAGTTTTGTAAGCTTATTTAATTACTAATTTCATTAAATAATTCAACTGAAACGATACATTACACTTTCTTATCACTTTATATAGTGTTGACATTGTCATGTTTGTTTTATGTTACAGGTTGATACATGTTATGCATAATGTATAATGGCATTATTACTACCCAATATTGTTGATCTAAATCATGATAGAGGAATATTAACTTTGCATGTCTTAACTAAGCCTTACATGTTTTAAATGTCTGGTTGTGTTGCTTAACTCTGACACAGCACACATGTACACCATCTAGAAATTAAAAGAAAAAAAATGATAATAACAGAACTACCGTCCATTTCCCATCAAGTAAACCTTTCTTGGTGGAACAAGAAAAATAGATGATTGTGGGCAGATAAAAGGAAATTTCCCAATGACACTGATAGTGGTAATATATGCATTTTTTGTGTCATACTTTATACACAGTAGAATGTAAACAATGGTACATAGAACTACTATCTACACATTGGTTGGTAACTAATCTTTCTGTTGAAATCTTTGTTTTTTTTCTTGTTTTTAAGGGACAAACAGAGTTGATCTGGATTCTTCTTCGTTTTTTTTTGTTTAGATAAAAGACATGTGAAAAATTATATTTAATATGTTTAATGAAGTGTACACACTGTTGTTAGTTGTTAAGGCAGTTTAATTTCTGCGCATGTTGTTTTTTTCGCTGTGTAAGCCTGTTTTTTTTGGATGAAAATTATCATAGTCGATCATTTGTAGAGAGTAAATTAGAAAAACATGGAGTGAAAGAGAGCGAAATCAAACTTCTTGTAGAATGCTATCATCATATGTTTATACTTATTGTTTACATAATTGATGCATAGAGTTTAAGTGTGGTTCGTCATTACCTCCCAGGTGTAAGTAACTATGACTTTGGGTTAGATAAGAATCTATTATCTAACTTTCAGTCAACACGTATTACTGGTAAATGATGACGATATAAATGCTGATGACGATGATGATAAGCTGGTTAGAGCTAGACACAATATGCACAAACACTGTTGAGGTAGATATTTCGAATACAATACTAGATTTTTGCTTAAATAAAACGTAATTTTTTTAAAAAAACAATTGTTAGGTACTTTCAAGCATGACTACTCTCTTCTTTAATTTCTCTAAAATTTTTGTCGATAATAAAAGTAAACAAAATGGTTGCCAAGTAGTGAACCATATGCATCATTGGTCTTTATTATTTGAATTATCCTAATAATAATAATTGTAGAATTTTGAAAGTGTTATGTACTTTTTCAACGTACACTATATTCAAAGAACAAGTAAATCTGTGATTCACTATTTGAATATTTCGTATGACCGCGAATGTAAGAATTTTCGTTATTAATTCCTATAGTGAAAGAGTAACACTAGCCTAATCTGCATTGTAAATAATGACATTCATCATCAGAGAGTTCATTTAGCTAGCGTCAAAAGCGTCATGTGACCACTAAGTGATTTATACATAAATACATTTGCGTATACATCGTTAATTTTCATTACATTTAATTCACCGAATGCTCGATTCATCGCACAATATCCATTCAAAACTGTTGGCCAAATTCAATAATTCATTACTATGTGTTTCATTTGCTTCATAGAACTTGCTCTCTATCATCAAACTTTGCATTGCCCAACTCCAGGATGTACCGGTAGAGGACATGTGAATAATAATCGTTCATCTCATAGAAGGTAAGTAAATTCCTAATTATATATATATATATATATATATATATATATATATATATATATATACGAATATAGAGTTGCGAAATTTGTCAGTTATGATCTATGGAGCTAAACAGTGTCAGTTTGAGGCGTGATTTCGTGGACTGGTTGAAGTTGGATACTAATATAGTTTGATGTTGACTCACTGCTTTAGATATAAAGCGTTCTTGTCCAAGACCGAACATTGTGGGTTCAAATTCTTTGAGAAGGGTCGTGGACGCTTACTACTGATTCGTCCTATTCTAAAACGAAAGATCTATTTAATATTTCTTGTTTTCTTAAATTTAACAGGATATCTAGGTTCTTTGTTTCGTTTCATGATACTTCGTAATTTTCCACTGACAGAAGTCTTAGATCATGGTGAAATTTCTTTATTTATGATCTCATCTTACTGTAAAGTGTAATGAACCCGAAACGTTTTTAAGTGTACCTACTCACTTGAACATACAAATTAAGTGTACAACAAATTTTTTTTTTAGTGAAGAAGTATATATTGAATACATATCATCGTAAAATAGCATCCAGGTAATTAAATCTGAATATGGCTCTCAAACAACATAATCACTAGAACATTTTATAATCTTCTTGTAACTTTATATTTAATCCCACAGATTTTGATAAAAATATTTAATTGATTAAAACAAAGAATAATGTTCATCTCCTTTATCTTTTTTTTGCATACATATCAATAATTCAGCTGCTTCATCCATTTTCACACACCGAACATATTCAACTGTTATTCAGATTATATGTTAAACAAAAGTAGATATTCAAGCCCCAGAGATAGATCTATTTCCCTAGTGTACAAGTCATCATATCTGTCCATATACAATATATCTGTGTAATATATACAACCTGTTAGAAGATTAGACACGTAACTTAAATAAAGACAAGTATATTATACTTTTCTGTTATTCTGTGACGCAGAAAAAAAATACCATTTGGGTAGAAGTTGAATGAAAATCAGATTCTACTTCCATATTTATAAATATATATAAATATCGTTTCATAATTCATAAACTGTCAACAGGAAAATATCATAAAAACAGTGGCAGTGCACATTTGGTTGCGTCATTTTTAACATTTCAAAGAGAACTTATGAAATTTTGCAGTGTTGTATATCAAACGAACATATATATATAAATACATATGAAACAGTGATCTAGCGTTTCCAATAGGCAAGCATTAGATACTCAGAGGAAATGAGAATTTCTTTCAAACCAAAGTAAAATTAACTCAAATTTGTTAGGAGAAAAAAAACTCTTCTCATTCTCTTATTTTGATGATTTAATCCCAAAGGATTAGAGTTGTTAAAATGAAACAACCATTTTGAGTTGTAACAATGAATTAGTTTTGTGTATATATGAATATATATATATATATATATATTTATAGAGAGAGAGAGAGAGTTAAAATTTTTTAAAAAAGACAAACAAGAGTTTTACAACAGAATGATGTAAATACTGACTTGAGAAATAATACTTAAATCGCAATATTTTAATTTTCTGCTTTTTGAAAACGATTATTCCAACTGTTCTATAACTAATTTTAATTAAACCATTCTAAACTTTGAACATATGTTGAATGAAGAAAATTAAACTGTTGTTTATAATTTAAAATTGATAGCTAAGGCCAACTTAGTAGATAGAAACTATACATTTTTTTTCTCATAACTAGTTTCGAAAAAGATAAATTCATTAAAATGAATATGGTAGTTATTAGTTAGTTAGAAGTGAACTAGTTGACATAAATAATATGAGTTGAGATTTAAAAGAAACAGGAAAACTAAATGGATAATAAAGAAATCTGCAAGAAATATGTATACTGTTCTTTCAGTATCTATATTACAATACAGTATCGATAGAAAATGTATTTTTAAATAGTTATTTATTGAATTTTACTGACTAAACTTGTAATGCATCTACCCTGCTAACTTGGCGTTCTTTTTGTCTTTATCATTGGACGATAAGTGAGTATGAACCACACTGTAGTGTATTTACTAAAGATCTTAGCCATTACACTTTGCAAACTAATCAACAATTCTAATGGTGTCGACATAATCGATGCCAGGTTTTATCGTAAGTGAACATACAATCAGGGATTGTTTGTTTCAGAAATTTGAGGTTATTCAATGTCTTAAACACTGTTTTTTGATTGTTATCTACTTCCATTATAAATGCCAATATACACATTAAGGTAAATGGTTTCGACAGTTAAGAGAGCTTATCTTCTTATCACCAACAGATTAACCGTTAGTAACCAATGTGTTCCATCCTCTGTAGTTTAGTTCATTTTACTGGCTAAGCTTGAAATGCAGCTACGGTGCTAACTCGCTGCTCTCTTTGCCTTCATCACTGGACGATGAAGATCGAAATAGCCTAGAGGACCATTAATTTCTTTACCATTGTAGATTTTCTTTGTTTATAAGGCCTCACTGCTAGTAAGCCTTAAGTCTAAAGCCTTATGACGATATTTTAATTGAATATATGGCGCAACAAGCACTGTACAGGGTAAAAACAGAAATTACGGTTCTAAATATAAAAAAAAAATAACAAATAGCCACAAATCATTTTACTTGTTTTCCTCAAGAGTAAACACCTTTCGATAGGCTTCAATACAAACATTTGACCCAGCTAATTTAAGAACATGAGACCCAGATGATTCCTTCCATAGGTTTATTCTAAATCTGTATATTTGAAAATTTGTAAACTAAGTAATGACATATTTTCACTATTTAAAATAACTGTTCGCGACATCACAGTTAGTTTTCCAAATTTCATAAAGGATATATATATATATATATATATATCCTTTAATGTTTGACTGGTAAATGGCTACTAATTATAATCCCTCACCATGCTGAATATTTGCTACAATAGTTGTGAGCAAGTGATTTACTTCTAGTATATGCTAGTATATGTTATGTTTTACAGTGTCAAATCATAACTCTTTTTTTTGTACTTGACAGTAAATTATCAATTGTTTCGAGTTACTTATCACCAAATTACTAAATGTAGATTACATCATTGAATTTAATTCACTTATTTAGAATCATTAAGAATGTTTGACGCAACAACATAATCACGGAAGCAATTTGTGTTCTATTTATAACTCGTCAGATAGGAATGATTGCATAGTGGGTTTAAATTTAGTGTCTTTCTCTACAAACAATATAGCCTAATCCTTTGAGCTAACATATTATGCAGACAGCCAGAGATTTGTTTAACGTCTGTGACGTTTATATCATTACTATTTATAAACGTGGAGGTAATCAGGACAGGATGCACATTATGAACAAAGTTTAATCATGATTCAGTCCTTAGTAAAAACAAACTCGTACTCATAATGATAAAGAAAATTTTCATGAACTACACAGCTCAGTAGGTAACGTGTTGGGTGTTTGAAACTAGAAGTAATTGATTGGAGCCCCTATTTAAACATCAACACTATAGTATGATTCCATCGCCATCCACAATCCATCTATTCTAAAAAAACCTGTGAAAAATAATTCTATCGAGGTTATCTACACAGAACAAACGTATGCCAAAAAAGTATGATCAAGATTTGTTAATGAATATTGACAACGGTTCAATTTAATAATGATAATGATTTGAAATAAGTCTTGATTAAATAATTAAAGTGCCATCATGTTTCAGATAATATTGGGCTTTTCATAAGTTTCAGTAGATTATTAACAAAAACAGGATGAAAAAGTGAAGCGTTTTATTGATCAGATTTATAGTCGAAACTCAATTTACAATAAAAAAAATGAAATATAAGTTTTACGTTAACTTTTAAACATTAGCTACAAAGGCGATTTGCATTGCGTACGCATTGTAACTTACTGTGGCTTGAGCAATCTCTGAAAGATATTGAACGATATCTGAATGGTTCTTTACATTCTATGACTCTTCAGCAATATATGGTAGAACTTAAGACAGTGAAATGCTTAGTTGGCTACTGTATTACAAGATAGGAAAGAACTATTCAACTTATTCCCCATTGGTCATGTCAAAACAAGGAGATCAACTGATTGTAGACGGTTAAGTTTAATTTCTATGTTCAATCAAGAATTTCACCAGCTTTTAATATGTATCACTAAATCTTACTCTCACTTTTCGTTATCTTCTACAAAAACAGATAGCTTTTAAATTTACCGCTATGCATATCTTAGTCATTCAAAAAAATCTTTCTCAAACAATGATTATTTGGCTGACATTGGTATTACTGAAGAACTACTTACATAAAACATTGCTGATATCAAATAATTTTTTTTCAGTTATACGTCTGTAACTACACCATTTTTATTCTCATTTATAATAATTTATTAATTACGATTAAAATATACATTACGTTTGTTTATTTATTCTAAAGATGAGAGTATTTCGATTGATTTGTTGTAGTTTTTCTGGTTGCCCTCTTGCAAGTCGAAATCGAAATAGACAATCAAAACGGCCATTATCACCACAAAGTAAGTCATTGTTGAATTCGATAATCTCATTAAATTTTTGTAGATAGTAGTTCTATGCTCTTGTTGTTCAAATTTTTGAAACTAAAGATCAAAACATGATTTTAATGTAGATTAGTTAAGTGATTTATACTTTATGAAATAACTTAGACCAACAATTCCTAATTAAAACTACGTTCTTCGGAAGCTGACAGATTCAACTCATCAGTCAGGTCTATTCTCCTGACACAGTTAAACTCTTTTCAGACTAGAAGAGAGTTAATGTTTGAGGATTACAGTTATACAATACAGAATTTTTTGTGAACTTACAAACCTCATCCATTTTACGGGATTTTGTTCTTGGTGTATACAGGGTTTTTAGTAATAACAGAATGTTTGTTTCACAGTTATCTTAAATAGAGAATTCAAAGGTTTCTATTATGAATTTGAATTTTGAGAAATTTCCCAGAGAATAATAATAATGATATGTGTTTGATCGATCAGCTTAAAATCAAACAACAAATCTACTTTTGAAATCGATAAAAAGCACTAACTAGACAAAAGTGTTACAAGAGATTTTCGAATTTATATACGACTAATAAAAGAGTGAGTAATTAAATAAAAATGCAGTATGCATTTACAACGATCAACAAAGTGATCTGATCTTCAGCAGGAATTTTCCTGTGTACTTTTAAAATAATTACGAGACAAAATCGGATCATAGGCCTTTACTTGACTGAGACAGAAGCTATCTGTATAACATTAGATTGTTGTTAGGGGACTCATCTGAAAAACTTGGAGAGAATCCATAATTGCATTGCGGGGTTGTTGTGAAGATTGTTAAGTTTTATTTGTAACCATGAGTCGATCACTGTTAGACAACCATTAGAAACCTGGAAGCACATTGATCGATTCATGGTTACAAATAAAACTTAACAATCTTCACAACAACCCCGCAATGCAATTACATGTGTTCAGTCGTGACTAGCTCGGTAAGGAATCTTCTCCGAGTTCTAGTGGGAAGTCGTGACCAGTGAAGTTCAAACGTGTTCGGATGTATACAGTGTATGAGGTTGCGCAAATCCGTGAATTTGGTCAAGTTAGACATTAACATCGTTAGATACCGGCTCAGTGGTCTAAGGAATAGGGCTTTAGCGCACAATACCGAAGGTCCTGGGTTCGAATCCTGCGGAGTGCGGGAGTCGTTGATGCGCACTGCTGAGGACTCCCATACCAGGACGAAGCGGCCGTTCAGTGCTTCCAGGTGTCTAATGGTGATCTAACATTGCTCGATTCACTGTTACAAATAGAATCCATAATCTCTAGTCATTAAATGTACTTCGTTCGTAACAGCGAATATCTTGCTTCTATTACTAAAAAAACCATTCCGCAATGCATCAATTATATATCATCTTTTATTATTAACTTTTCTGATAAAGAACTTGAATCACGGCATAAATCAAATCACATTGGAACAAATCATGAAAATAATACATCCATGTCTAAGAAATTCTATCAATCAATTGGTTTGTTAAGTAAGCCGAATCCATCAAATTCATCACTTTCCACACTATCAGCATCATCGTTACCAACATCTGATTTCATGAAACAATCACAACAATTTCAAGCAATACCTCCAACTGATTCTTTACTTGCAAACTTTCCACCTAAAATCATGAATCCTACTGATTGGACAAATTCAAACAATCTGGTCAATGAATTCTCTGATTCGTTTTCTAAATCACTTTATAACTTATTGCCTAACCTTATGAATACACCACAATTTTCAACATTATTAAACTGTTCCACAGCAGTTGCCAGTAATGATAGTAATATGGCTAACTTATATTATAATTCACAAACTCTCTATCCTATATTTAACCCATCTACATTATTGAATACCACTAATACTACTGTTAGTACCACTGTTAATAATAATGATAATTCAAATGTTAAAGAGGTGTCAACTTCTTCGAAACCTAAAGATATGAATTTCCCGAAATATGTGAACAATGTTTCATATAATTTGAATTTACCACGATATGATGATATTCTTCCGCAATCTTTCATGTATCATAATCGATACAAGAGTAGACATTTACTACCAACCAAATCAGTTGACACAAATCACAATGTTAGCAATGATCTAGTGTCTGAGAAATCGACTGCATTAGCACAAATTAATTGTGGAACAGAGAATTTTTCGGCAAACGACCATAGTTTCCTAATCAATCAATGCTCCCCTTCATCATTGATACAATTACACACAGATTTAAATAAAAATTATCCAATGTCTAACTCTCTGTGTAATGAAAATAAACTGGAATGCCCGATAGATTTATCGTTACATTCGAAAAGCCAAGTAAAGAATAATGACAAAATGTAATTATTTGATTATTAATGTTTATAATTAATAACTATATATATATATATATATATATATATATATATATTAGAGTGCTGTCCTAGTGTAGTGAATGAGAACACAGGTGGGGGCAACCGAATTGTATTCAACGAAAATTACAGAGTTACTCAGTAAAATCGGAAAACCATATCGTAAATCGTTCATTTGCAAAGGATCAGTTCATCCTATGGAACTGGACTGTTCCTGTTGCCAAACATCAATCCATTGTCACTCTTCATGCGTTTCAAACAAATTCCATTGTTTTCTGACTCTTCCTTTCTTGATCTTCCCCCCATATTATGCTACCAGACTTTACGTTGACACTCACGCTATATACTACTTATAAGTAGTTCGCACCACAGCACCACACTCGTCCCCCCTTTTAATAAGCTGTCGTCGTGGTCCTTCAAAACAGAGCTCCTGGTCAGTTAATATCACCTTCCGTATTCCGTGACACGCTACACTATGCCGGATTACCACTTCGGTCATCGTTCTTGATCACTGGTCTGGAATGGATACGGCATCTATCCAACGTGTAGCGTCCACCAGTTCCCGATGCTGGAACACGGCGGCAGGCACACACTCGATAAATTGCGACGCCAAAGACTGTGCCCCGTCCACTCCTCACGGCGCAATCCGGTGAGCTCCACAGCAAGCACCAACAGGTCACCATCGGCCGACAGCCGCGCCAACCGGAACCTCTGCGGCGCCTCCTCCCTGTCCGCTGGGCTGTCGGACTCCATTATCAGCCGCCCGGTGACCGTCTCCCACGCCGTCTCCTTGGTGGCACCGTCCAGGCTGTCGTGCACCGCCTTCGCCTCACCTCCCCACAGCGTCCCCAGCACCGTCAACTCCGCCCCAAGCCCCCACCAGCTCCACCGTGGCCCCAAACTCCTCCAGGAAGCTCCGCCAATCTCCGTCCTGCAACTCCTTCGGCCACGGGAGCCCCTTCCTTCGAGCAGGCAGCGACACCAAATGTAGTGAATGAGAACACAGGTGGGGGCAACCGAATTGTATTCAACGAAAATTACAGAGTTACTCAGTAAAATCGGAAAACCATATCGTAAATCGTTCATTTGCAAAGGATCAGTTCATCCTATGGAACTGGACTGTTCCTGTTGCCAAACATCAATCCATTGTCACTCTTCATGCGTTTCAAACAAATTCCATTGTTTTCTGACTCTTCCTTTCTTGATCTTCCCCCCATATTATGCTACCAGACTTTACGTTGACACTCACGCTATATACTACTTATAAGTAGTTCGCACCACAGCACCACACTAGAATCAAATAACTTATGTGAAACCGTTATGTGTCGATAAAGTTACGAACATAATAGAACCCTACCGAATTACAGTATAATTTTATTTATATGATAATTCTGTTAGTGAAATGAACTCAGTTTATCAATAAAATGAAAGAACCAAAGAAAGAAGCATTCGATGATGCAACTTGAATATTTAATGAAATAAGGCCATTTTCTCCAGGATGATTCTGTTTGTTAGTTGATGTCGATTCGTGCGGAAGATGTTTCAATATTTCGATCAAACTATTAAAAACTAAATGTTTTTCCAGTTACAAAGAATTAATTAGTTTATAGTTACAACATATTCTTTAATGAATGAAGAGTTTAAAAACTTTCCCTGCGTTTTCGTCTCAAAACTGTTCACTATATAATAAGAATATTAGTTAGGAGGATATTTTATTGTATACAGATATTTAACCATGCAATATAAATAAAATTACAGCTTTAAGTTGCAACTGTTTTCACACATTTACTGTACCGATGTTTTGTTTAAATTCCGACAGAATTGTTCAAGACCACCATACAAGGGCATGAATGAGTTTGAAATTGATCATGATTCCCATGTATACATCTACCCAGTCATTTTCTACTCTAGGAGTTTGCCTTACAGTCGGTTGATATAAACGATATTGAAATGCAATCAAATTCATTAACCGTGAAGGTTATTTGATGTGTTCTAATCTACACTGATCATTACTTACATTACCATCTTTAGTAAGTTGTAAAGAACGTGGATTAATTACGTTTCTTTCAATGTTAGCAAAAGAAGTTTATGGAAGTGAACTGAATTCTCTACTGAAACGCTAATGAATTTGATCAATATGCACGTTTATTATAATTGGAGCTGTTGGTTTATGAATTTCATTTGTAGATAAATCAATAAGTCAAGCACGTAACTGTAAGTATTTGACTGGTGAATTTCATTGGAATTCTTCTTCGTTTTTGACTGTAACTTTCTTTCAAACACTGATGATTAAATTGTATTTATTTAGCAGAGTGAAACAAGCCCCTTTATTTATTGATGATTTATCTGTTGTTTCAGTCCTGTCACTTGTGATAATTTACCGACAGAAAAGATAATTGGTCGTTCATTTGAAATTGGTAATCTTTGTCCGGAACTAAATGAATCCCAAAAAGAGGTGAAGAATTTATCTTTATGCACAAAATCAATGAATTCAAACAACACTAATGTCATAACAACTTCTTCTCCCTCTACTATTACACAATTTATACCGAATTCAGAAAATTTAATAAATATTCCATTATCACTAAATTCCAATAGCTTTCTTGGTGAAGCTGTCTTGTCAGCCGATTTGCTTTCAAACAGGAAACATATTTATGAAGGCAAAAAGTGTTATACTAATATGGAGTGTTTAAATCTATTGCAAGGAAGGTCAGATTTTGAAGCAGCGAATGTTTTGTTTGCATTCAACTAACAATTTATTCAAATCATGCATAAAACCAGAAGATTTTCATCTTCATTAAAATCATCAAATGAAGGTAATAATAATAATAATAATAATCACAATACTTTCTCCCCTAACCTAATGTAATTCTAAAAATCTAAATATATCTAAAATGTAAGTTATCAGCATTAGGTGTGTCGGAAATCGATTAGAGTTAACATGTTATTTGGCTTTATAGACATGCCGTAAATGTAAGAAGAACTAGACATTAACTGCCGGTAACTGCGTATTGTCATAGGTGGTCGATTGAACACTGATTTTTTACTTAGAACGTGTATTTCTTGTACTAATCATATTCCCTGTACACTTCGAAAATGAAATTTCACATTTGTTCTTGTTTCAGACTTATAATTTATAGAAATAAAAAAATACTCTTGTCAGTCATTATTCCTATAAGCAGTTACGAGAAGCTGGCCCTATATCATAAAGTGTTTCGGAATGCTAATATGGACTTCGGATTTTCTTTTAGCCATAGGGAATGAGTTTTAGGGCGTGAGATCTCTTGATGGACAAGCTCTGTTCGTAATATAAAAAGTTAATAATACCATGGTCGTAATTTATCCAATGATACATAGATTAAAGGCTTATTCTTTACTCTAATGAAAATAACCGGCAATTATAGCCTAGTTCGGACTAATCCAAATGTTATCCATCTATAATAACTGATACTTCTGTATCTTGTGGTGGTTTTTTCAATAAGTAAATAGAGGTTGAATTCACCCTGCAAATTTAACTTTCCCGATTCGCTAAACGAAATTGAACATTTTCTTTTATAAAGTTGAACAGTGAAGTATTTATTTTCTTATATTTCAGTCATGCATAAATATTCTGCGTTTGGCAAATGCCTGCAATAATATGATTCTTCGTTTGGTCAAACGGCGTATCAAATGGTGGCTAGTCCTGGTCATTTATCTAAATTATTTCAATCTGTAATTTATACTACTAACAATGTTTATCAACAGTAAGACAATTAAATAGACATTTTGAAGGCAATATTCTAAATTCCAAAATAGTTTGCTGTATTTGTGTCAAACAAGTATTAATATTTTTAATTATTATGTTGTACAGGAATTTGACTATTTAACTTATTCATTGCATTTCAAAACGTACAAGAAGTTTCTCTCTTCAGTTTCTGTTTTATTCAACTAAAAGTAATGATAAAATAACAGAGACTTATTTAAAATTGAGTTAAACAATAAGCAAACAGACGATTTGATACGGGTTCCAGTGACTTGGGAGACAAGTCGGGTCACGGGTTTTTGCCTATTTTAGCGTGTTCTCACAGTTTCTTCGGAAGCTTTGCTTTCGCTGTTTAGAGCGAATCCAGTGGTCTAGAGTAAAGTTTTAAGATCTTTGTGCCTAATATTCACATGATATCACAATAATTTTGATAGATTCTGATTTCTTTCGCTAAATCGTCCAGGTTTTCAATTCTGCCGTTATTGATTTTTTCAGATAAAGCAACCACCAAAGAAATCAAATTACATTGTTAATCAGTCTTAATTGTTTGACTTTATAGTAGGCACTAAACAACTCCTAAAGATGACCTACAGCGGGGTTGGGTGCATGCGAACTTGTATGTTGAGGATAAAAGACCTCTTAAGCTACTGTAGGACAGAATATAGATTCTTAACTATTTAGCTGGCTGCGTATGCGATGAGCCTCAGAGTTCTGGAATCTCTCGGGCAGCTGCCCTCTTTACTTCTTCCAAGACATCTAAATGACCTTCTAAACAGGGATTTGCAGCCTGAATTCAGTTCTCAAGTTTGAACCTCAAAAATCTTATGTATACCGCTGTGGACACATTGGTATCCAACTTCGTAAATGTATGTCTTAAAGCCCATAACGTTCTGAACCCCTTAGCCGCAACAGCACGGAGGTGAACCGTGGTTATAAGCTCATGGCTTACAAATACCCCAAGATCATTGTGAAACCGGACTACGAGCATCGACTTTTCCCTATTTATCTTTGTACTCCCAATGCGCATATAGACACACTTGGCCGTGTTGTTAGGCATTAGCCATTTTTTAAACCAGCTAAACAGAACGTCTGAGTCAGCTTGAAGTACACTTGAGTCTGCATCCTTCGTTATTTCCTACCAGAACTTTCCATCATCAACATAAAGCAGCATCGGTTTCCAGGGCGAGCAGTTCGAACTTATTCTAACTTTTTGCCTAAGAGTCAATACAAAATGATGCGTCTTTGCGGTAAATTGATTTCATAAGATATCTTTCAAGAATGCTACCTTCATATGCTCCTTGTCATCATCGGTTTCGTAATATGCTGACGCAATCAAGATATGCTGCAAAATAAAAAAGATTAAGGTGATAGTTTAGAGCAGCGAAACGACTTTGCGAATTGTCTGGATAGTTTAGAAATTGGCCGTTGCTGATAAATGCATCCAAGTGCATCAGGATGCACATTGGCCTTTAAGGTAAAGATAAATACACGGTTTTATTATATTATATCTTAAAGCTTTCTTAAGTCACTGAATAATTCTGTAGCATCAGTCAAAACCTTACATCCCCGTCAACAATAAGGAACAAAAGCATGTCATCATCACCCGTGGTAACTGGCTGCTTAAGGAGCAACTATTTGTCTACAGGAATGATTTGACAATGAATTGTACTGATCCAGTAGATGACTTTTCGGTAAGAGGGTGCACCGTACTAAATCATTATGGTAAGTTGTTATTACATAAAATCACTCACATTTCGATGACTAAAAAATAGCCTAGGAACTGCAAACTACCTTAACTGAAGTGCTGAGTTACAACACTATCTTCATGGGTCAAAATGAAACACTTGCATATCCAGCGGATAAGCCCAAAAGGTTATTTCATAATTTTATGTAATAGAAAGATTGTTAGGGCCGTAAAATGAAAGTGGAATGACGATTTGTGCATAATCGATGTTTTTTACACTGTGCTTCAGCATCAACAGTACTACTACCAGCTTTGCTTTTACTCAAATCTGTCCGTATGACTAGATGCATTAACTGATAGCTTCGATACAGTACCACTTACTGAGTGACTTACTTAGGCCTTTTAACCCCAAAGAAGCAAAAGCCGCCAACCAGCATCCTTCACCTTACTCTGTCCTGGGCTTTCCTTTCCAGTTCTGTCCAAATTTTGTTTATTCTTCTCATGTCTGTCTCCATTTCTAGGCGTAATGTGTTCCTTGGCCTTCCTCTTTTCCGCTGACCCTGAGAATTCCAAGTGAGGGTCTGCCTTGTAACGCAGTTGGGTGCTTTCCTCAGTTTGTGTCCTATCCACTTCCAGCGTTTCTTCCTCTTCTGAAATCTGGTTTGCTCTCTCCAACAGTAGGATGTTGATGATGTTCTCTGGCCACCAGGTCAGAAGTATTTTGCGTAGACAACTGTTCATAAACACTTGTATCTTCTGGATGATGGCTTTCGTAGTTCTTCAATTTTCTGTTCCATAGAGTAGAAATTTCCTGACATTTGTATTGAGAATTCTGATTTTAGTGTTAGTTGATAGTTGTATTTAGTTCAGGGTGATCTTCAATTGTTGAAATGCTGCCCTCGCTTCTCTGATTCACGCCTTCATAGATCCACCTTGCTCATCAATTTCGCTTCGTAGTGTCGAAGAAGCCTCTGTAGTGTCGTCCTATCTACTCTGTCAAATGCTTTCTCGTAGCCAGTGAAGTTGATGTAGAGTGGTGAATTCCATCCAATATTTTGTTCCTTAATCATTCGTACTTTCACGATTCGGTCGGCATACGATCGGTCCTTACGGAATCCAGCCCATTGGTCTCGAAGTTGGGCGTCTATGAAGTTCTTCAGTCTGTATAACATTAAACTGTCCAAACTGTGCCTGGTATTGGTAGTCTCCTTTACATTGAATCGATCGTGAAAAGCCTGGAACCTATTGCTTAAGGATAATGTGAATTCGTTGAGTTTTCCAGCATCCCAAGGCAAGGCCGTAATAAACTTTTGTGATGTTGTCCGCCCCGTTGTCCAGAGTTTCTTCAGTTTCAGCTTCACTTTGGCGACCAGCAAGTGGTGATCTGAAGCTATATCAGCTACGCTATTGGTTCTCACGTCCTCTATTGTCCTTGATGTAAATATAGTATGATCCAATGAAATCCATCTGGCTTTCTGTATGCGTTTGTGTGGGACTTTGGTGCTGCCTATGATCAGTTTGTTGAAGGCACATAGGTTTGCAAGTCTCTCACCATTTTCGTTCCTTGCTCCAAGTCCATGTCGTCCAATGATGTCTTAATATTCGATGTTGTCCATTCCAACCTTAGCATTTAGGTCTCTCATTAGTACTAACATAGGTAAAAGCGTAGTTTTCGAATTTTAAGCAATGAAAAGCTTCTTTAGGAGAGGAGTACTATGGAAAACTATGAAGTAGAAATGTGGCTCAGGCTCGCGAATGTACAACACCAAAAATTATGCTATTCCTCGACAAGATTTGCCGCCATGATAAAGTACTCTGCATGTGCGATACACTACTCTCGTGGAAAATCTAACACTTATGTCTTGGAAAGTAGTGGGCAGACGTACAGTTAACTTTGTTGTGAGGGTTGAGGAAGCGACAGAAAATACGTCTAAGAGAATCAGTGACTTATGTGGACGGGTACTGACCGACGGTAGTTGAAACCACTTTACAAATATGCAAACAGCTTACTCTCTGATGTTATCTTTGAATGTTGAACTGACCTACTCTATTCCTAGCACTGAAACATAATGTGTAGAAGAAAACAGAATATTTACCTAATGAAATATTTCCAGTGAGAATCTGCCTTCAAAGTGTTCGTAAATCTGACGTTTATATTAACACACATTTTGTTTCACTTGCAAATGACACCTACTCGATTTGACTACCAAGGTAGTTGCACTGGTAGAAGCATAGAAGAAAGCATGTAACCTCCATCCTGTACACTGTTTTTGAATTTTACCAGTTATAAAATTAATACTTCATAATTACATGGGTGTAGCTGTAAACTGTTGTTAACGTAAGTATGCATGAAGCGTTTGTTAGCAAGAATGCCAACAGG